TGGCCAGTCTGAGAATGTGTGAACTGACGCAGTAGAAAGGCATCTGAGCCAACATCAACCCCCCCTCCCCCGCTTTTGTGGTGCTAATTATAATCTGTGATGGAGGCCCGTTCACACATGTGAGCCATCATGTGATACTGCAGTCATCCACATACTGTTGCCTCCATAGCCAAATGCTCATCCTGTCTAATGCTGCCTGGCTGACTGATGCAAACATGCCATCTAGCGTCCATGGCTGCAAATCTCCTGTCTGGCTTCATGGGGAGATAAACACCGCTCTCCCATGCTAGAGACATTTGAAAAGAAACTGGGCAGCCATCTGAGTGGAATGGTGTAAATTGGTGTCCTGCAACAGCAGGGGGTTGGATCTAGTGGCATTCATGGCCCTTTCAACTCTGCTATTTTTATGATTCTATGATTTTCCACCTCCATCCTTCCATAAGGGGGGCCATGCCTGGCCTGGCAGTTCATTAGCCATGAGAAGCCATGTGGAGCTTCTGCAATGAGAAGTCGTCTACCTCGGATCGCTGGATGCTGGGATTCTGTGCCTTCACACTGGCCTGCCTGTTGCCCAGTAACATCTGTTGCTGAAACTGGAATGTTACTCTAGTGCAGAAGCAGGCAGATCAGGGGATCTGGGAGACCATGTCCATTCCTTAAGACTCTACCTCCTGGGATCCACACTGCTGCCACTGATGCAGTACCAAAATTCAGCAGCATGGTACTGGTGAGAAGAATTGGCGTTTGCAATTTCAGTAACAAACTGCAACTGAGACTGAAAAAGAACAAACGTAGCAGTTGAAATTGTCCTTTTTCGGTCAGTGTTTCTGCTGAAGAGCAGCTGTGATTGACGGAGGCTTTTGTGGTGCCACCAAATGTGAGTGCAGAGAGCGCAGGAGGGACTGTGCTGGAGGTCAGGGAAGTGCACAAGGCACGTGGGCTGCAGGTTGCTCACTCCTGTGCCAGGTGGCCCTTGCAGGATAGCAAATGCAAGATTAGGCTTTGGGTTAATTGCAAAAGAAATAGTTTTTGAGAGACCATTCAGACTAGTACAGAAGCAACATAGCAATGATTAACAAAGAAGCTTGTGGTGCCTTAAGGACCAACACATTTATCCTGGCAGGTTTTGTGGGTGAAATCCACAGAAAAAAAATGTCAGTCTTTAAGATGCCGCAAGACTCTTAATTGTTTTTGCTGAAGTAGACTAACATGGCTGCCCCTCTGGAAAATGCTGAAAGTTGCAATATCCCCTTGCAAAACAGGTTTTGTTTTTCATTGTCACTTGTTGGAAATGACTAAAAAGTAACAGTCACCTGACACTGCTTCTCTGGAGTCAAACCATTTCCCTTCCCTCATTCCTTTTCTTGTAAATTAGCTTTACAGACATCAAAACGGCCCTTCTTCAACCCAAAGCCTTCTACATGTGAGGACTACAATTCCCATCATCCCCAGCATGGCCAATAGGTTGGCCAATGGCACCAAATTGAGGAAGGCTGGTTTAAATGTGGAAACATTTAATCAGGCCACCTGTCTCTCTTTATTATCACCACAGTAACAATGGGGGAAACTCTCCAGACTTCGACATCCAATCTTGTAGATTTTTTCTGCTTTCTCAGCAGCAACACCTGTTGATGTGGGCAGCCACGGTCATGAGCTTCTGGCACAGAGTCATGTGTGGCTCTGTGTTTTGTCTGAACATATGCTGCAGTCAGGTATGGTATCTCCAGTGCAGGAAGAAAGGAATGAAGAACTGGCGGAGGAATGCACCTCTCCATAAGGTTTAGGTCACCCCCAGTACTTGAAAGTACTTCCTTGCAGAAAAAAATATGCTGCCATTCCAACGTGGACACTGTCCTGGAGGTTTGGGGTGGCCCAAAACTTATTGTAGGGGATACACCTCACATTTTTATTAATTTCTGCATATGCTGGCTGTTGCTGAGATGGGGGCAGTAAATGGGCTAGTGCAGCCTCCATCAGATCGAAGCCTTCTAGTATGCTGGCTTGGGGCGATGGGAGCAACATACCTGGAAGGCTCCAGGTTGAGGAAGCTGTGCTAATACCTTGTGCAAAAGCAAATGGTTGGACTGGATGCATTTTTATGCCATCACATAGGTGTCCTTCTGGAAGCATAGTTGTATGATTCGGGGTAGCTCAGCGCTTATTATGGGTTGTACACCATTCCTCCTTTATTTAATTTCTTTATGCGTTGGTGGTTATGAAGGCATCATGCTTGCTGGTCTCATGCTGTCAGCAGGCCATTTCTTCTTGACTAGAGCACACCCCTTAGAGCCTGGGAAGGGGACATGGAAGTCACACAGGGTTTCTGAAGACCCCACAGGAGGGCAGCCTGTGGTACCTGGAGTTGCCCACATCACCTACCATGTAAAATGGCTTGCCAGACAACTGGGGATCACAAACAAAACCAACACCCCCTCCTCCAAACTTTTTGCATTGTGCTAGACTTGGGAACTTTTTGGATGTTCTTTCTTATTGATTGTTGTTTCAATAATCAAATTCTTTTGTCATTACTTTAAAGTTTGCCTGTATTTTCTGTTATTGTTACTAGACAATTGGTCTATGTGTCAGCTGTAAGAGCTCTGCTAGATGAGAATATCTGGCCCATTCAATCCAGGGCAGAGCCCTTTCCAAAATTTCAATTTGGAAATGTTGCCAAAGGCAAAAGGGGTGGGGGTCAAAATACCAGCCTATTTTGGCTTAAAACTCATCCTGTCAGTAGCTAAGCCTTAGGAGAGGCCTTTCAGCATTTCAGAATGGGGGGAAATACACCAAAAGTGGAAAAACCATCAGAGGACAAGTGGATGCATGGGGCCAAGAGAAGGGGCTATCAGTGACTCCCTAGAACACTAGATTTAGCCCTGAGGTTTTGCATTCCAGTCTAATCCAAAGTCTTGCTTACAGTCATGGCCTCTCTCAAGGGCTTAGGCAACAGAGGTGAAACAATGACCTCCCAAATTCTGCCGGTGTACTACAGCTTGCAAGAACAGGAGAAAGGCCACACTGGATCAGGCCAAAGGTCCATCTGGTCAAGCACTCAGTTCACATGGTGGCAAACCAGCTGCCCACAGGATCCCTCAAGCAGGATGGGCACAAGACCTCTACTTGCCCAAGTTCCTCAGCAACTGGAGTACGCAGGCAGGCCACCTCTGATAATGGAAGTAGCACAGATAGCCTCTTCCATGGATCTGTCCAATCCCTTTTTACAGCCATCCAGATTGGCGGTCATCTCCACTTCCCATGGCAGTAAATTCCATAGTTTAACTATTTGCTGTGTGAAGAAGGGTTTCCCGTTATCAGTCTTAAACTTCCCCACCAGTCAGCTTCATGGGATGACCCCAGCTTTGAGTGTTATGGGAGAGGAAGAAATGTCTTCTCCACTTTCTCCTCACCACACATTATCATGTCTTACCTTACTCTCCTTTTTCTAAACTGAACAGTCCAATTGTAGCCACTCCTCAAAGGGGAATTCCTCCAGCCCCTAGACAGTTTTAGTTGCCTTTCTCTTCACTAAACTCAGTCATGGCCTTTTTCAGGTGCTGTGACCAGAATTTAGAATATTCTAAGTGCAGTCAACACCAAAAATTAGTATAAGGGGAGTATGATCTTGGCGGTTCTATTTTGAATTCCTTTCCTAGCCATGCCTCACATGGAGTTTGCCTTTTTCACAGTAGCTGTGCACTGGGCCAACGCTGTTGTTAAGCTGCCCAACACAGCAGCGAGATCCTGTTCTTCTTCAGTTCCTCCATCAGTTCACAAAACATCAGCTCCTGTCACTCCTGGGGCTGCCAGGATCTGGAGCCTAACAAGATCTGTAGGGCCACAGAGTTTCTTATCATCCACGTACAGAGTGGCTCATAAGCGAGGCATGATGGGAACAGTTCTCTGCGGTGGCGCCCAATCTATGGAATGCGCTCCCCAGAGAGGTCCGCCTGGCACCGTCATTTGTTTTTCGGTGCCAGGCAAAGACCTTTTTATTCAAATGTCATTTTAATTGTTAATAGTATTTAGTCATTTTATTCTTTGGCCAGGGAGACTTAATTTATACTGTTAATTTATATTATTCTATGGAAGTTTATTTATGGATGTGAGCAGCCCCGAGGCTTCGGCGAATGGGGCGGCATAGAAGTCTCCTAAACAAACAAACAAACAAACAAACAAACAGGGCCCCTCCTGTGGCTGCCTGCAGCACCTCCTCCTCCTCAACATTTTAGTGTTCAAAGCGCTTCATACATATTATATAGTAATCCTTACCACAACCCTGTGAGGAAGTTCTGTCTCATGGACCTATTGCAGGTAGGTGTGGAAGGGGAGTCCTTAGGCTCAGATTGGCTCTGCTAAGGCTGCCCAGGCCTGCCCACCTCCTGCAGAGGCAGTGCTCTAGCAGATCAATCCTGCGGCGCATGGCTGCCTGCTCTTTGGCTCCAAAGCTCTACTGCACCGGCCTCTGGAGGTTCTTTTTTTTAGCGATCACGGTCTTGCTTCGTTCCTGCTCCTAGGGCCTTATCTTCCCTATTCCATCCCAGGCAGCAGCTCTGCGTAGTCCAGCTCCGAGTGACCGCTAGTGTCCCTCTTGAGTGATTGAGTCCCTCTTTGAGCCGTTTCAGAGACACCACATGCCTGCCTATTATTTCCTTACAAGGCAGGGCTGGAGAGACGCTTTAAAGGGAGACGGATCAGGAGGGTGGCGTAACCCAGCGCGCCAGGCGTGGAGAGGTGGGCTGGCTAGAAGGGAGGGGGCTTGTGGACGGGGGGGGGGGGCTCCCTGCCTGTAGCATGGGCCAACCCTGGCGGGTGTCCAAGAGCGCCTGCAGCAGCAGGTAGGAGCAGGAGGGAGGCGGTGCTGGGAGAAAGGGTCCGGAGAGGTGAGGGGGAGGCGAAGTGAGGCTCCTCGGTGCAGCCCCTGCCTGCGGAGGCCCGCGCACACGTCCACACAGAGGCGCGCCCGAGCGCGCGCGCGCGGGCACGACCCACTCTCCCCACCCACCCCACCCCGCGCCTCGCCTCGCGTGCATCACCAGCACCCGCGATCTGGGAACCGCGCGCGGGATGCGGACGCCGAAGGAATGTAAACGAGCACGGATTGCAGTGGAGGAAGCGCGCTGGTCAGTGTCGGTGGGGGTGGAGGATCGGATGAAGGGCTGAAACGTGGCGAGGTCGTGGTGCCTGGGTTGGGCGTGTGTGTGCGTGAGTGAGTGCGAGTGTCTGCGCCCCTGTGTGTGTGAGAGAGGGAGAGGGGGAGGCGGGGGGTTGGCAGCCCTGCGGTTGCCTGGTGCTGCTGTGTTTATGCTCGTAGCAGGGAGCCTCCTCGTTCGTAAGAGAAGGCAGTTTGTCGCGTTCACACGGTGATCACAGAGCCCTGCAGGAAGGATGGTGTTTATGTAGGTGCTTTAAAAACGTGAAACGTATTGCGTGAAAGGTAGAGGAATCATTTTAGTGGCTTGGTGTAAGGGAGAGTGAAGATGGGAAAGTGTGCATGGGTGCAGCCCTCCCCATACTTGTTAGGGAATAAGTACGATAGAGTTCAATGAGACTTTGAAGTAAAATGCTTCAGGGTTGCAGTGCCAATAAACTTTTTGTGGACCTGAGCATTCAGTTTAGCCGAGAAGCCTGCTTGTGGATGGGCAAAGAATGGGCAACTTTACTTGACTGATGGTAAATAACGCGCGTTTAATTTGCTCTTGGGTTTGTGGAAGGACAAAAAAATCATTCTTCTTTGCTGTCCATCCAAACAGGTGGATGGATGCACCATTTGCTGAAGAGCATGTGCCAATGTATAATATTTAACCAGTCTTGTTTGTTGCTTCTGAATGTATGTGTTGCCCTCCTGTAGCAGAGTTCATGCTATGCCTTTCCTCTTCTTGTTAGATTAATCTGAGCTTGTCAATCCATCCGTATATTCTTTTCTGCTTCCACTCTTTCCATTATTCTGAATCCTTTCTGTCCATCCATCAGTTTGCCCAGTCATTTTCTTAACTCCCCACATGGTTGGCCCCCCTTTTCATTACCAATGATTATGTGCTTTTCTCTTATTTAAAACGTACCTCCCTCCTTCAACTGGTGCTTCATCATCTTATGTGCACCCCTCTTGCTGTCCCAACTCTCAGTCCTCCTGTTTATTTGCAGTAATCCATCTGTCCACTAATTCCCCCTCCACACATGCACCCTCCTCATGCCTTCATCCGTCCCCCATTCATGCCTATTTTTATCACTCATACCTCCATATCTATCTATGCAACATCAGATCTTGTTTTGCTAAGACAACGCTGTACACTTGTATGCACACACATGCACACACACACTTGCACATTTCTCTTGCATGACATGCTTAGTGCTTATGCCGCAGATTCAAAGTACCTGCATTGCCCATCCGTATGGGTACATTTTTGAGATGGCATAAGGGACACACACACGTGCAGTGAAATTTCTGCGGTAGATGGTTACACATCTTCATTCCTCAAATATTATTGCTGCATTATAATTTTTACGTGTTACACCTCCCTAAAGCTCCACACATTTTCAAGACAACAGCATGTCTGACAGCATTCAAAGGCACTACACCTGTATAATAGGAATCACAGTGTTATGCATCTCACAAGTGGTATTTATTTAGACTATTTATTATTATATTTATATCCCACCTTATTTTCCTTTCAAGGAACTCAAGGTGGCTTACATAATTCTCCTCCTCCCTTCAGTTTTGTCCTCACAACAACAGCCCTGTGAGGTAGATTGGGCTGAGAGCCTGTGAATGGCCCAAAGTCACACGTTTGGCTTCATGGCTGAGTGGGGACTTGAACCTGGATCTTCTGAGTCCCAGCCCCGCACTCTTAACCACTACACCACACTGGATCTCAGTTGCCCAGTATGTAGGTAACACCCACCCCATGTCAAAAGGGTAATCATTACATTCTGCCAGCACACACTGCCATCATTCATTAAAAAAGTAAGAGCAGTTGAACACAATTCCTTCCTCAGCACACGTACATGACACACTGGTGCTCACACACAATTCTGTCTGTGAGCAGCACACACTGAGAGCACAAGAAGATGGCTCCAGCCGTGAGTCTGGATAGTAGAAGGGACATGGGGAAGTACAGACCTGTTAGCCTT